TTGCGTGTGGACGAACGGCCAAACCGCGTAGAAAAAGCTGCGGTTTTAAAAAAAGCTTGCTCACTAAACCTGACATTTCTATTTTCTGGGGGCGTCACACTGCAAGACTGATTAAATGAACATGAAAGTAGTTTTAACTATTTCAAGTTGAATTAATAGTAATAGCTCTCCCTTCTCATAACATACAAGTCTGAATTCTGACTAATTTTTAAGGATCCCCTAAAAGAGACAGCTTTATTGGTTTGCTGCACCACACATTTTGTCATTTAGAAAATTTAGTAGTACATTTAATACATTCATTTGATTCTAGAATGGGGCTTTATTCAAAAAATATTTCTCACATAATTAGATTGGCTTTAGATAATTTTTTTTACAGTTTAGCCAAATGACAAAATATATATGCAGAAAAAATTAATAGCAATATGTCCTTTTTTGAGTACAGTAAAATTGAACTCAACTGCCCATATAAACAAAGATAAACCCAAAATGAAAACATGTTAGGTGAGAATTGAAATCATATTTTTACACATTGTGTTTCAGAGAAGCACGAAGCTCAAATGCAGCACTTACACAAGCGATCTTTCCATACGACTACCCTGAGAGCCCACCAACTCTCCGAGAGTACAGTACATCTGGCCCAGGAAGTCCTGCAAACACACACGGCAGGAATGGAAGCATTATTTACACTTTATGATTTCAGGGGCATTTGAGTTCAAGATAAGTTGCTTGTTATCTCAGTACACATTCAAGTCAGCATGAAATCAAAATGGGTACCTATTTATCATGAAATATATAGTATATTAATGGTTAATATTATATTTAAAATATTAGAAATGCTTAGTTGCATTGGCAGAAAAGTTGTTTTGGTGCAGAATTTTGAAGAAACACACTTCTTGTTTGTAATAATGTGCATAAATTATTAATTCACAATACGATCAGGAATATGTATTAAATTCCAACAGATAAAATCAAGTCACAATCAAACTCTGCTCAGAAATATGTCGCATTATGGAAGTTAAACAGGTTGTGAATGTTTCATGCCTTTGAGCTAGTATTTGTTCTCCGATGGGAACGTTTTGCTTGTTCAAATCAACACTTAAACGCACATTTCATTTTCAATGTAAAGTTCATGTTTGGTGCTCATGTTCAATCTTCCATGTCAATTAATTTCTTAGATGTCAACCTTTAAGATGTCTTGTAGACCATGCAAATGTGTAATAACTAATGAATTTGTGGTGC